AATTTTAAGTTTCAGCAGCTTAAAGCTGCACTAAGACTTTTGGAAATCCTGTATTTCAATATAATTGCCTTCCTTTGCAAGACTATGTATTCTGTTTTATGCATATAAAAACATGATTCTGAGAAGGGGTCCATAGGTTTCGCCAGACGACCAGAGGAGTCCATGACACAAAAGACTTCAACAGTCCCTGAGCTAGTCTATCTCCTTTACCTTTTCATACATTCTATTGAAGTATTTCCTAAGTGTGGAAATTTCATTGGTTTCATGCCTCATCAGTCCTCAAGTTCAGGCAGAAAGAAGACTCTAACAAGAGTCGCCAAAATTATTTTCACCTAGCAGTTCTGGAACTTCAGTGGCCAATTCATCCACAGTTGGTCAGACTAAGAAAGAATAACACCACCACAAACTGGCAATAGTCTGATTGTCCAATCTACTGATTTGTAGTGAGAAGTGCCTTAGCACAGTGTTTGGCACATAGATGTTTAAGGTATTCAGAATGCTTTACATATATTTTATCCTTACAAAAGCCCTGGGAGTTAGGTGTGATCATCATCCCCATGTTATTATAGATGAGGAAATGGAGGCACAGAGATGTTAAGTGACTTGGCCAGGGCCACACAGCTAGTAAGTTTCTGAAACTAGATATGGGCTCAGTTTTTCTTGTCTCTAGGTACATCACTTTGTTGACTTGACTTGAAGTATAACTTCTAGGTAAGTCAAGTCAACTAACATGAGTTAACTGCTTACTATGTGCCAAGCACTGAGGATACAAAAAAAGGCAAAAAACAATTACTGCTTTTAAGGAGCTCATAGCCTATTGGGGGTAAAAACATGCAAAGAGTTATTTATAAACAAGCTATAGACAGGATAAATTGGGGTGTAGTCTCAGAGGGAAGGCACTAAGATTAAGGAGGCCTGAGAAAGGTAGGAAGGAGTGAGGTTTTGAAGGGCTTTAAAAGCCAAACAGAAGATTATATATTTGATCCTGAAGGTAATAGGGAGCCACCGGAGTTTACCGAATACTTACTGGAGAGACATGATTAATATTAGTGAGCATTAGATAGCCCCCTTGTCAAGTAGAGGCAAGAAAATAATATATACATACATACATATATATCCATATATGGATATATATGTAATATACACGCAATGGCTACAACAATGTAAATGGAAAGAACAACCACAAAATTATCCAAAGGGAATATTGCAAAATTATATAGAACAGCGATGGCTCCCAAGAAGAGATATGAAAAGACACCCTAAACTTCTCCTTTGCAGAGATGAAAGGTCCACAAGTATAATATACTGCACATATTTTCAGACTTTTTGGATATACTTTTCCTTTAAAAATATTGTTATATAAAATGGCTCTGGGGGTAGGATGGAGAGGAATAGTGACAAATTTTGATGACTAAAAAAGGTATTAATTATATTTAAAAAAAAGATGAAATGATGGAAGTCAGCACTACCTAGTTTTTTTTTTAGGCTGTAAGGTTAGACTAGTATAGTAAACAGTCAGGTTGCTTTAGTATGATTGCTTTGTATTGGTTTTTTATGCCAGTTAGTGACGATGCTTAGCCAAGAGGATGAATCAGTGACCTAGATATCTCATGAGAGTCCAATGTGATTGGAATGGAATGTGAATTATTACAGGATGGAAGACTCAGATTCTGATGGAGTGAAAAGAGCCTTCTAGACTAAGTTTGGAGACTTCTGTCACAGACTTACCCTCTGACCCTAGGCAAGTGATTTGACCTCTTTTGTAAAATAAGGGTATTGATTTAGTTGGTTCCTTGGCTCTCTTCCAGTTTTAAAGTTCCAAGGATTTTTATTGTAATATATTTTCATAGTACACAATTCCAGCGTTTACTGATAACTTTAATGGGATCATAGGCTTTACAGATATAAGGAAGCCTAGGGATTTTTAAATCTGACTAGAAGATGACTTTATATTTATCCCTGTTAAATTTCATTTTATTAGACCTGGTCCATTGTGATCTTCTGTGGAGATCTTTTCAGATTCTTACTTTGTCCTTTAACATGTTAACTGAATCATCCCAGGTTCATGCTGCTTGCAGAGTTGCTAACTATGCTGCTATCTATGCCTTCATTCACAAAATTGATCCCAATGTTGATGCATATAGGGCCAGAGAAGAACCTCTGGGATCTTACCTCCCTCTAAGTTGAAATTGACCACAGATGCTCACTGAATAGCTACCCTCTTCTAATTCAGGGATTTCTGCAGAGGAGCATATCTTCTTAATATACACTGTTCTTCCATGGCTCCCCATTCCCTTTTTTTACCTATTCTGTTCTTTTTGAACAAACCATATTTGAGTTATGTGTCTAGGAGATCAAATTTACCTTCTTGCTTTAGGAGTTTTCATTTGCTTGGTTTGTTACCCCTGCTTTGTGAACTTGTGTATAGGCATCTGAGGCTATGGATTTTATTACTGGTGCTCTTCTTGGATCTTATCTCTGTAAATCATTGGTCCTCTCTACTGATATTCTTCTTTTTATGTTGTATCTACTAGTTTCTACTTTATCTGATTTAACAGATCAAAGGAAGTTTTCTCCCTCCTCTTCCATTTTCAGTTTAAAGTTGAGAAAGCTTTAATCTTGATCAGATTCATATGTTAGACAAATTTCACTGTCTGGACCAGTTATTTTTCTTTGTAGACAAACATCTAAACCTTTGGGGATGGGGGGAGATGAGTCTCTAAGTAAAAAAGATACAGTAAAATCAATGAGTAGTCTAAGCTGACCGTGTATACATTTCTTAACCTAACTAATGTTTCTTCATCTGTAAAATGGAGACAATAATATTCTGCACTATTTGTCCCCCAAGGCTGTTGTGGGGAAAGCACTGTGTAAATGCTAAATTGTTCTGTGAATGTGAGCTATTATTATTTCTTATATTAATATTAATGTTGTTGATTGAGGCAGTGTGGTATAGCAAAAAGAGTGCAGAACTGAGACTAAGAGGAACTTGGTTTGAAACCACCTTGTTACCTCCAAGTTTCCTCATCTATGAGGAGCTTCTACTAGCTGGTCACCGAAGTCTCATCCAGCTCTGATTCTGTGAAGATTATTAATGATGATTGTATGCCCAGAATGTAAGAGGCAATTAATCAATTAAAAAGTTTCTATTAAGTTTCAACTCTGTGTCAGGCACTGACTAGGGCTATGGACATAGCCATAGTACCAAGTTCAAATAATAAAACAATCCCTACTCCCAAAGAGCTTACATTCTAGAGGGGAGATATAACTATCTGTCTGTCTGTCTATCTATCTATCTCCATATCTTTCTATCTCTCTATCCACATACATATATTTATATATTTAAATTCAAGGTAGATTTGGAGGTGGGTGGCACAGTGGATAGAGTGCCAAGCCTGGAGTCAAGAAAACTCATCTTCCTGAGTTCAAATCTGGCCTAAGACACTTACTAGCTGTGTGACCCTGGGTAAGTCACCAAACCCTGTTTGTTTCACTTTGTCGTCTGTAAAATAAACTGGATAAGGAAATGGCAAACCACTCCAGTAACTCTGAAGAGAAAATCCCAGATGGGGTCATGAAGAGTCAGACACAATTGAAAAATAACAACAATTAGAAATTTGGGGCCAGCGATCAGGAAAGACTTCATGCAGATGATGGGGCTTGAGTTGCATATTCAAGGAAGAGAAAGGTTCTTTGAGTTGGTGGTAAGGTAGGAGTATATGCCAGGCATGGAAAACAGCCAGTGAAAAGGTAAGGAGTGGGGAAATGGAGTATGTGATGAACAAAGAAAAAGCCAGTTTGGATGGATTACGAAGTTTGTGTTGGGGAATAATGTCTAATGAGGCTGGAAATATAGGCTGAGACCAGGTTATGAAGGGCTTTAAAAGATAAACAGAGGAGTTTTTATTTTATCCCACAGGTCATAAGAAACTATTAGAGTTGATTGAATAGAGTCACATGGCCAGACTTGTGTCTAAGGAAAATCACTTTATATTGTTATGTGGGAGGATGGGAATGATGAAAGACTTGAGGCAAGGGGACCAACTAGAAGGTTGTTGCAATCATCTAGACAAGAGGTGATGAGATCCTGCTAAGATGGCAGCTGTGTGAATGGAGAGACGGGTTGGACGTGAGGGATGTTCTGAAGGCAGAAATGACAAGATTTGGCAACTGATTGGATACATGGGGGCAAGAGAGTGAGGAGTCGAGAATAATGCTGAGGTGAAAGCTTGGGGGACTAGAAGGATGTTGGTGCCTCCAGTAGCAGTAGGGATATTCGGAAGAGATGAGGAAAGATGGTGAGTTCCATTTTAGACATGTTGAGATTAAGGTGACTCAATGTTTTTATTCAGTGAAGGTCTTGATGCGATTGGTCAGTGCTTTGGGATAAAGAGGTTGGGGACGGAGCATGTGGACAGAAAATAGGAGGACTTCTTATCAATGACAATAACAAAATGTCTGTGTACCGTCCCTTATTGTGCTCAGCAAAGAAAGGGATCCTGCTTTGTTGCTCCCATGTTGGCCTACAGATAAAGAATCCTTTCCTATTTTCTGGAATTAGATCATAGAAGGGATTTTTGTTTTCCCTTTGTCCATTTAGGCAAACACACTTCAAATTAGTGTCTGGATTTGTCTCCATAAGCCGGCCTGGGTCACATGCTTGAGGCCTTGGGCTGCTCTTCTGAGGAGTCTCTGGGGGAGAAGATGGAGTTTTGTTCCTGCTGGGAGCTCTCTCTCTAAATGGGACGGGAGAAGTTGCCACAAAATAACTTACATTAGGCTGAGAAGGAAACACTGTGGACTGGTGCCAGCCATTTGCAAGAGCGATGAATGATTTGTGGGGAGATGCTGGCCAAGTTTATCGTTTCACTTGGATATTATGTAAAATATCAGGTGCAATATAAATATAGTCCCTTTGGGGAGAGGTCATAGAGAGCAGAGTCTCTTCATTTCTGATGAGCCAAAAGCCGATAAGTAACACTCCTCTCCAAACCCCCCAGCCCCGTAATTATGCGGCAAGTGAAAGACAAGGAGGACTGCATGAGAGAGATTCATTTTCATTGAGTGATCTACTGCATCCTAAGAACTCATGTGAACATAGTTAAGCTTATGAATAGAGAGGAGAAGACAAGTCAGCCTCTGGAGACAATGCCTACATGATACAATCTGAAATGGTAATATGGTACTGATTCACCTTTAATGAAATTGTGAATTATTACTGCGGATAGAAAGGTTTTTCTTAGAAAACTGCTGACCGGTGTTTGATAACAATTTTGTTTCTTCCTCTCCAGGTTGTACTCCTGACTCTACCGAATGTTCTCTGCAGCCTCAGGAAACTTTTCACCTTGGAAGCCCACTCCATCCCTGGAATTCACACATAGGATTCACACCTTTCCACATCTTTGCCCCTTTGGCCTCTCTTTCTGATGGGCCACTGATTCCTTTCCATACCTCCGTTTTTAGGGGAAGGCAGGGACCAATGATGATTTCATTCTTCTATAGGCTGACCTCCTGACTCTTTGGACTTCCCCTACAAAGCCCCAGTTCCCAGTACCTTCATCTCTTCTCCCTCCCCACTCCCCACTTCGTTCAGCATCTTTTCATGTATTGTCTTCTTCCGTTTGAATGTAAGCTTCTTGAGGGCAGGAACTATCTTTCTTTCTGCTTGTATTTGCATTCCCAGCATTTGCACAGTGTCTGACACATAGCAAGTGCTTAATAAATACTTGGTGACTTGTCTTGGATATCCTCCTGCCTGCAACTGACTTCCCTGATGTTATTTTATATTAAGATACAGTCAAACTCCTAGAAAAACTGCTCCTAAATCACTTAAGTGAGGGTTGAAAGGCACTCACATTTCTCTTAAGTGATTCACATGTGTGTATTTATAGGTGCATATGTATGTAGTCAACTGAATGTTTAGCAAATGCCTACTATGTCCAAGGCACTTAGATATTGATGTCTATTCTTATAATGTACGTATGTGAATATACACATACATGTATATACTTAAATTTAACATCAAGTTTATTCAAGGAAAATATAATGATCCTATGATAATAAACATCAGATAAGGTGTAAAATAGGGAAATGTATACTTGCCAAAGGTATTTGCCATGGTAATAGAGTAGACGGTAAGAGTTGAAGAGGGAATCCCTGTAGATTGTGGGATCCATCCTCCAGATATCCTTATTTGTAGATGACATTGTGTTGATTGCATCAAACTCCAGAATGTTGCCATCTCCTTGAAGAGATCTGTAATCACTCAAAAGAATTTTTGAAAGAAAAATGGAAAAAGTATGTATAGAATAATTTCACATATATTTATACCTATTTGTGTCTAATAGTAGCCATCTCTAGGGCAGGAAGGAGGAGGGGAAGAAAAAAAGAAATTTATATTTGTTTTATTGTATATTTGAAGGCAATAGCAAGTTGTGCATAGTAGATTTGCAGTTTCATGTGCAATCATCTTTTCAATTGTACTATGTTGTGGAAATGCTTGTTTTATTCCATAAATTAAAAATAAAATTTAATAATGATTCAAGAAAAAGAATTTGACATGTCCATCCACACAAAAAAGACCAAGTGGATGAGAAATGTTTATTGCCCAGAATTCAACTTGCATTTCAATGGAAAGCCTATAGAACTTGTCTAAAAGTATGTATATCAGGGCCAGAGAGTAGAAATGGACAAGTTATGATCAGAGTTGAAAAAGAAGAGCAAAGCATGTTGAATTGATTTTGGGAAATTGCAAAGCTCTTTTACTAATATGTTTCCCATGAAAACAAAAACCCATCTTTCTATTGCTACCATTTTACTAGTGCTGCTATATGGCAGTGATACATGAAACAACACTGACTCCAAAAACTAGAAATAAGCAACAATCAGAGGGCAATCAGAGGTACATGGTGGAGGTGAGAAGGATGCACTACATAACAATGAGAAACTCCAAAGAAGAGAGTCACCAAGGAAGTATATAATAGGAAGGGAAGATGAGCTGGTCACGTGGGAAGAGCTAGGGACATCAGGGGGACAACTGGACTTCTCTAGGGCTGTGTTTGTGATGTCAGAAAAAAAGAGAGGAAGAATTTTAGCATGGTTGGTGCAACTCCTGTGATAAACTTTTGGGAGGATATGGGTAAGAGTCATTGAAAATGGGAAGGCATGGATTGGTTGATTTTTACATCATTAGAGGATGGGAAGAAACTCCTGAAATGGTGCTATCATTGATCTATTTAAGTATATTTGTAAAAACAAAAAATAAGAAAATGGGTAGCAGTATAGCATAGGGAATAGAATGTTGATTTTGTAGACAGGAAGATCTGGCATCAGAGTCCTGTCTCTGGCACACAGTAGCTATATCTGAACATTGACAATTCATTTAACTTCTCAGTGTCCTGAGACAAATCTATAAGACTAATTTGCTGAATTGCCAATGTGTGTCATTTAAGGGCATTTCCAAATTGGAAGTTTCATGTGTTGATGGAATTATAGTTATAGACTAAAAAAATCTCATATATAATTTATATACATATACTATAGCATGGTATAGTTTAGTAGCACATTCTTTGAAGCAATTATCCTAACCCCACACTGCCACTGACAAGTCATATACTAGAGTATGGCTACTACATTCCCTCAGGGCTGAAGGGTTAATTTTTTCCCTCAATTTTTAAAACACTTTTATTTAAAATTTTGGGTTCCATATTCTATTCTTCCCTCCCTCTCCTCCACTCCCCACTCCTTGAGACAGTAAGCAATCAGATATAGGTTATACATGTGCAATTATGCAAAACATTTCCATATTAGTCATTTTGTACAAGACTCAAATAAAAGAGAAAAAATGAAGGAAAGAAAATGAAAAATAGCGTGCCTCAATCCGCATTTAATCAACATCAGTTCTTTCTCTGGAGGGAGATGCTTCATCCTTAGTCCTTTGGGATTGTCTTGGTGGATCATTGTATCTGAAAATATCAAGTCATTTACAATTCTTCATTGAACAATATTGCCGTTACTCTGTACAACATTCTCCTAGTTCTGTTCACTTCAGTGTGTATCAGTTCATGTAAGTCTTTCCAGGTTTTTCTGAAGTCATTCTGCTTGTCATTTCTTATAGCACAATATTTCATTACAGTCGCATACCACAGCTTGTTCAGCTATTCCTCAATTGATGGCATCCATTTGATTTCCAATTCTTAGTCACCACAAAAAGAGCTGCTATAAATATTTTTGTACAAATAGGTCCTTTCCCTTTTTGGGGATGTCTTTGAGATATAGATCTAGCAGTGGTATTGCTGGGTCAAAGGATATGCACAGTTTTATAGCCTTTTGGGCATAGTTCAAATTGCTCTTCAGAATGGTTGGATGACTTCACAACTCCACCAACAATGCATTAATGTCCTAGTTTTCCCACATACCCTCCAAAATCTAACATTTTCTTTTTTTGTCGCATTAGCCACTCTGATAGGTGTGAGGTGGTACCTCAGAGTTGTTTTAATTTGCATTTCTTTGATCAATAGTGATTTAGAGCATTTTTTTCATATGACTATAGATAGTCATATGATTTTTTTGTCTGAAAACTGCCTGTTCATATCCTTTGATCATTTATCAACTGGAGAATGACTTGTATGTTTATAAATTTGACTCAGTTCTCTGTATATTTGAGAAATTAGGCCTTTATTAGAGATAGTTGTTGCAAATTCCCAGTTTTCTGCTTTCCTTATAATTTTGGTTGCACTGGCTTTATTTGTGTAAAAACTTCTTAATTTTATATAATCAAAATTATCTATTTTACATTTTGTAATGCTTTCTATATCTTCTTTGGTCCTAAATCCTTATCCATAAATCTGACAGATAAACTATTCTATGCTCTCTTAATTTGCTTATGGTATCACCCTTAGGTGTAAATCATGTACCCATTTTGACCTTATCTTGGTGAGATGTTGTTTTTCCAGTTTTCCCAGCAGTTTTTGTCAAATAATGATTTCCCACCAAAAAATCTTGTATCTTTGGTTTTATCATATATTAGATTACTATGATCATTTACTATAATATAATTTGTACCTAATCTATTTCACTGATCCACCACTCTATTTCTTAGCCAATGCTAAATTGTTTTGATAATTACCACTTTATAATACAGTTTGAGATCTGGTATGGATAGGCCACCTTCTTTCACATTTTTTTCCATTGATTCCCTTGATATTCTTGAGCGTTTGTTCTTCCAGATGAATTTTGTTATTATTTTTTATAGCTCTATAAAATATTTTTGATAATTTGATTGGCACTGAATAAATAGATTAATTTAGGTAGAATTGTCATTTTTATTATATTGGCTTGGTCTACCTATGAGCTACCTATGAGCTACCTATGAGATTAATATTTTTCCAATTGTTTAGATCTGATTTTATTCATGTTTTATAATTGTGTTCATATAGTTCTTGGGTTTGTCTTGGCAGGTAGACTCCCACGTATTTTATATTGTCAACAGTTATTTTAAATGGAATTTCTCTTTCTATCTCTTGCTGCTGGACTTTGCTGGTAATATATAGAAATGCTAATGATTTATGTGGGTTTATTTTGTATCCTGCAACTTTGCTAAAATTGTCAATTATTTTAACTAGTTTTTTAGTTGATTCACTAGGATTTTTTAAGTATACCATCATATCATTTGCAAAGAGTGATAGTTTTATTTCCTCATTGCCTATTCTAACTCCTTTAATTTCTTTTTCTTCTCTTATTGCAATAGCTAACATTTCCAGTAAAACATTACATAATAGAGGCGATAATGGCCATCCTTGCTTCACCCCTGATTGTACTGGGAAAGCTTCTAGCTTATCCTCATTACAGATAAACTTGCTGATGGTTTTAGATACATACTACTTATTTTAAGGAAAACTCCATTTATTCATAGGTTCTGTAGTGTTTTTAATAGGAATGGGATGCTGTATTTTGTCAAAGGCTTTTTCTGCATCTATTGAGATAATCATATAATTTCTGTTGGTTTTGTTATTGATATGGTCAATTATGCTGATAGTTTTCCTAATATTGAACCAGCCCTGCATTCCTGGTATAAATCCTGCCTGGTCATAGTGTATGATCCTTGTGCTATATTGCTGTAATCTCTTTGCTAGCATTTTATTTAAAATTTTTGCATCTGTATTCATTAGGGAAATTGGTCCATAATTTTCTTTCTCTGTTTTGGCTTTTCCTGGTTTAGGTATCAGCACCATATTTGTGATGTGAAAAAAACTTGGTAGAACTCCTTCTTTGCCTATTTTTCCAAATAGTTTATATAGTATTGGGATTAATTGTTCCTTAAATGTTTGGCAGAATTTGCTTGTGAATCCATGTGGTTCTAGGGTTTTGTTTTGTTTTGTTTTGTTTTTAGGAAATTCCTTGATGGCTTGTTCAATTTCTTTCTCTAAGACTGGGTTATACAAGTATTTTATTTCTTCTTCTGTTAATCTGGGTAATTTATTTTTTTGTAGATATTCATCCATTTCATTTAGATTGCCAAATTTATTAGCATATAATTAGGCAAAATAGTTCCTAATAATTGTTTTAATTCCTTCTTCATTGATGGTAAATTCGCCCCTTTTATTTTTGATACTAGTAATCTGGTTTTCTTCTCTCCTTTTTTATTTTTTATTTATTTTTTATTTTTTTATTCTTTGGTTAAGCAATGGGGTTAAGTGACTTGCCCAGGGTCACACACCTAGTGAGTGTTATGTGTCTGAGGTCAGATTTGAACTCAGGTCTTCCTGACTCCAGGGCCAGTGCTGTATCCACTGCAGCACCTAGTTGCCCCTCTTCTTTCTTTTTTTTAAATCAAATTAACCAATAGTCTATCTATTTTATTGATTTTTAAAAAATAAAACCAGCTTCTAGTTTTATTTATTAGTTCAGTGGTTTTCTTACTTTCAGTTTTGTTAGTCT